GAGCGGGGGGCGGGGCCGGGGCTGGAGCAGGTTCCTCGCTGCGCCTCTCGCCCAGGGCGCCTTTGTTTTCCGCGTTTGGTAAGCTTTGTGTCTGTTTCCGTTGCTCCCTGCCTATTTTAAACTAATTTTTCTTCATATTAAGTCTTTTTCCTTTAGAAAAAAGAAAAATGATTTAAGAGAAACTTAAAGCTGTGGTCCACTTTTATTGGAAACTAAGATGTTTCCTTCTTAAGTTGAAACGATGTAGATTGAAAACTCTTTTTGCAAGCCTAATGGACTCCAGTCTTGCCAGTGAGGCTGAAGCTCCACAGCGGTCAGGGAACTGGAATCTCGGTGGGGATCCATGCAGGGCACTGGTTGGACCCGGAAACCTGGAAGACATTATGCCAAGCGAAATAAGATTCTCTTACCACAGAAAGACAAATACTGCACGATCTCGCTGATACGTGCAATCTAAAAAAGTCGAGCTCATGGGAATAGAGAGCAGAAGTTGGTTACCAGGGTAGGGGTGGGAAATGAGGAGGTTTTGGTCAAAGAGTACAAACTTGTGATAATAAGATGATTAAGTTCTGGAGACCAAATGTACGGCATGGTGACTATGGTAGGTAATTATGTATTGTATACTTGAAATTTTCTAAGTAGATCTTAAGTACTCTCACCACACCAAAAGAAAAAAAAAAAAAGGTAACCATGTGACGTGATGGATATATTAATTAGCTTGATTGTAATCATTTCACAGTGTGTACTTATATCAAAACATAACGTGATACGCCTGGATTATATACAGGTACATCTCACTAAAGCTGACAGAAAAAAAGATTTCATATCAGTAAGGAACTAGAAAAAGTAGAGTAAACTAAACTAAAAGCTAGCAGGGAAGGAAATGAGAAAGATAAGAGCAGTGGTAAATTAAAGTAAAAATTTTAAAAATAGATTAAATCTGTGGAACCAAACCTTTGTTCTTAGAAAAGATCCACATATTAGAAAAATCCTTTACACTAACAAAAAATAAAAAACAAAGAAGACTCAAATTATTAAAATCACAAATGAAAGTTAGGATTTTACTTCTAACCTTGCAAAAATAAAAATTATTACAAGGGACTACACCAACAAACGAGATATTGGATATCCCAGATGAAACGAACAATTTCCTTCAAACATGTACTACGAAAATTGTCTCAAGAATAAACAAAATCTGAACAGACTTAGGACAAATAAAGAAATTGAGTCAGTAATTTTAAAACTCTTCACAATGAAAAGCCCAGGACCAGATGGCTTCACTGGTAAATTCTATGAAACATTTAAAGAAGAATTAACACCAATTCTTCTCAAACTTCCAAAAAATAGAAGAGGTGTGATACTCCCTAACTCATTCTATGAGGACAGTATTACTCTGATAATAAAGCCAGACAAAGATACAAGTAAAGAACACTACAATATGTCTTTTAAATATAGTTGCAAAAATCTTCAAAAAAATACTAGAAAACTGAAATTTACAAAATATTGTATGGATTATGCACCACTGCCAAGTGGGATTTATCCTGGATAAGAAAAGTTGTTTCAACGTAGGAAAATCAATTTCTTTTTTTTTTTTTTTTTTTTTTTTTTT